TTTAAAGGGTTAAAGAGAGATGTGCATGAAAGAACCTCAAAAAGCTGTGAACAAGTCTGGGCCAGAATTCCTGTATGACGATGAGAAACTGTCACGAAATGATCACCTCGAGTTACAGCAGCTAAATGAGATCCTACAAAGAGTTTTTCACAGAAACACCTGAATAAAACCCTTCAGATACAAAGTATTTTATTTATTTGTGTTACATCAGAGTCAGAGAAACGATACTATGTTATCAAATGTAATTCGCTATATTATTCTGCAACACTGTTGCAATGTGGTTCTAGTTTTCTTCTAAACTGAGCCTGAGCATCACCTCCTTTGGATGTTTGCACAGAAATGAGGAAAGATGGCGTTATCAAGCCTGTGCTGTACATGTGTGATCAATATGGGTCAAATATGATGCAAGCTGTCAGGCACTTCCAGAGTTTCATTCGCTCTCCGTGGAGGTTATATAAACCCGCTCTGCTCACGCTGTCAGCTATAAGCTACAGCTGCCAAGGACACATATCAGTGTTCAGCAATCCATATTCTATTAACTCTCACACATCAATCATTTAGCAGGAATCCCCTGCAGGTTTGACCTCCGCGACCTCCAACACACTGCAGAAGCAGGCCAGGTTCATATCCAACAGGAAGAGAGTCCGATGGAGTTGGCAGCTGAAATCCACGAAAGATAAAACAACCGATGAGCAGCATCCAACCTCCAGCTGAGAGGAGAACATTTTTCTGTCCTGTCAGGACTCGTCCCGCTTTGCTCCGTCAGCATTTTGTGGTTTTGTTCTGCTGAAGTAAATTTGTTGTAACGTGTTTTTTTCTTTCCATCAGACTTTCAGCTAGAGCTCATTATCAGCACTCATCAGCATGTTTGGCTTTCTTTGTTCAATTTTAGCGACTGAAGCTCTTTTTCTGTTCAGAGAAGCAAACTCAGAAGTTTTAATGATCGGGAATTAGCCGGATCCCTGCTGGTTAGAGGAGAACAGACGGCTTATTTCGGTGAAAATCGAACAGATTAGTCCTTTAAATGAAGGCAGGTGTGATGAGTTTCATTGCAGGTGGATGTTTGATTTTTTGACTGCATGGCCCTGCCTGCAGGCGGGCAGGTGGAGCAGCTCCTATCAGACAGTGAAATAGCTTTAATGAGGATCTCTGTCATCTCAATAAAGCGTAACACACGTAAAAATGTGTGTCTTGGACTGATTTACATTCACACATACACAAACCTGCACAGAAACCATAAAGTTTTAATGGTTTCGAGCTATTTCAAGGCTCCACGGGAGATAAATCCACTGAAAACTGCTGACTCGCAGTGCAGAGTTAGATTTATTTATCTGCATTAAAGCGCCTCTTCAGCTCTCAGACACTTTCTACTTTCACAGAACCGATAATGCTGCGAGGTGAAGCACAGCCATTGTCAGAAACTGTATTTGAAAAGGGAAAATTTAAATAGTGCCGGTTCTGCTCATCTCCAGCTCCATGTTTTGACTCTTTTAGAGTAGCTTTGCATGACTAACAGCTAAAAATAATCCTTCTTTATCTCACACTGGTCCTCGGTGCAGAGCCTCAGTTTCCCCTCTGTCTGAAACAAGCCCCTCCCCTTTAGGCCAGCTTTGTACTGACTGGCTGACTGTCACAAACAGAAGGTTTGAAGGGCAGGTGGGTGGGGTTTCCAATCTATGACATCACCAAGATCCAAAAGTAGACACAGAAGTGTTTCGAGCACACGAGGAAGTTTAATATGAACATCCACTGCTGGAAGAGGATATGTCTGACAGGAAATGACTTGCCTCCAAATAAAACTCACTTTGCAAACATCTGGATCATGCTCTCAGTTGACTTTGGGGAAGTTCTCGTCCATGAATACTCTTTGTGAAGATGCAGACGTGGAGAACTGAACAGAGACGGCACCTCCGCCTGCCCACAAATAAAACTCACTGAAGCTTTAACCACTTTCCACATGGTTTGCTTCGTTTTGTTTTCATATAAATTTTCAGATATAGAAATCTGAATCAACCGGGCCTCGATCCCCGCTGTTTGATCCCATTATAAAA